CTCACTGCTCCCCATGAAAACAAGCAAATAAGTTCTTTACTGAAGGAACTCCATCTTTAAACCTAAATAAGATACCTATATCAAATTCTCTGCCCGTGAACAATCCAACATGGCCTTCCCTTCCCCACCTCAGCCCCCAAGATTTCAGCACAGATCGGCCACAAACTCTCAAAACCATCCCTGCAACCATAATATCAAGTTTTCTCCACTCTTACTTTCACAAAGAAAAGTGCGCGGTCACAAAGAAACACAGAAACAGAGCGAGCCAGAAGGGTTCTCTTGAGCCATCTAGCCTGACCTCTGGCTCCAGCCGGCTCCGCTCATGAAGAGCATCTAGGCTTGGGCGGGAGAGACAAGCCACACACTGCCCTAAACGCGATTGGTCCTCACAGGGAAGGATCTACTGAGGCCATTTCTGAAGGCTGCCCCATAGTGGATCGCCGAGTGAAGGCCAACACATCATCAAGGCAACGGCTCCAGCTCCGGGAACTACACACAGGAATGGGGGGTCGCACTGTGTATAATTGCTCGTTACAATCAGGAGCACAATGCATAAGTTGATTAGATCTCCTTTTTTACAGTAACTTGAAGGAAACAATAGGCTTTAAATTATCTTCTCCCATTAACGAGGATGCTTTTTGTGTAGCCTTGCCCAACTAGACTGCAGATAGCGAGTACTAGAATAAGAGGCTCCCCCCCTCCCCCTCCCCCTCCAAGCAGGCTCTCTTGTGAAAGGCATTCTCTAGGAAACACCAAACGTAAGAGCGATTCCTTCTTGGCAAAGACCACCTCAAGAGGCCTTCTACCTTGGAAACCACTTCAGAACAGGGATTCCCCTTTGGCAAAGGCAACCCACCTTCTCCTGCAGACACGGGATGCAGAAGAGCGTACCTGCTACCACACCTGTACCTTGCCTCAAAACGAGGCAGTCATCCCCTTTCTTCAGCACGATTGCTTTCCTCTTATACAAAATGCAGAACGACTAAAATACAGTCGATCGCTGGATAACAGCCAAATGAACAGGCCTCCTTGCTTTAAAATTGGCAGAAACTTGATCAGCAAATACGGGAGCGAATTCTCTCAAAACGATTCAACATGTTGTTGACATGCCGCTTCTCAACTAAACGATGGAACAAAATGGATGTCCAAATGAGACTCATTTGGGCTCGGAAATGTGACATGCAAAAATGTACCTAACAGCAAGCTGTCCCTTTCTGAAAAAAAACACGAAACAAAAAAAATTTTTAGGAGAGGCGTTTGGCGCTTGGGACAAAGAGCCATCCCTTCCCATTTCCCCACACAGCAAAGGTTTTCGGATTCACGGGGGAAAGAAGCATCTCCGTGATGGTGGGATTGGCGTGGCAAAGCAGTGAGCAAAAGATAAAGTGTCCGAACTCCCCCGTCCCCATTGCTTTGCCTTGGAAAAAAGGCAGCAGCTGGAGCATTGTTTGGATGTAAGACATGCTTTTGCCTTCAGATGTTCTACCAACAAAGTGCAAGGCAGAAACTCTTTGGAGGCGGATGCCAGTGGTGGGTGGGCCCCTGGTTTTTTAAATTGCAAATGCCTCTACACTTCACGCTCGTTTGAGCATCCGAACTCCCGCTTCGCTCTCATGAAAGGGGAACAGCATCCCGCCTTGCGTTGGTTTGTGGATGGGAGGAAGGTGGGAAGGTCTGAAGGAGGGAGCCCCTTCTACTCTGGGGTGATTAAAGATTTTGGTTGCACCGGGTTTTAGATGGGGTGAGAATCTGCACCATCCGTGGGGCTAGGAAAAGATGGGGGGCGCAAGCGCAACATCCACCCATCATGCTGCCCACACTGTGGAGGAAGTAGAAGTCAGCTTAGCTGGCTGGCGAAAAGGAGTACTTGCCACCTGATGGAGAGAAGAATAGGTGGCTTTCTGTGCAAGCGGCTGCCAGATGGGGGCTGCGACACAAGAAGCCAGGAAAGGGCAGTGATCGGGGGGTGGGGGGGGAGGAAAATGGGAAAGCATCCACAGTGGATCCTAAATGCAAGAACTAGTGGTTAAGAGCCAGTGTGGTGTAGTGGTTAAGAGCCTGGGACTGGGACTCAGGCGACCTGGGTTCGAGTCCCCGCTCAGCCATGGAGCCAACTGGGTGACTTTGGGCCAGTCACAGACTCTCAGCCCAACCTACCTCACATGGCTGTTGTTGTGGGGATAAGATGGAGGAGGAGAATGATGTAAGCTGCCTTGAGCCCTTTGTAGGAAAAAGGCAGGATATAAATCCAAAAATAAATAAATAATTAAACTAGCCTCAAGGTGTTGGAAAAACAGCTTTATTTCTTGGGAAATCCAACCATCTTCAACTCAGTATGTCACTGGGGGCATTCCTTGGGGGAATCCTTAACAGCTCTATCGGGACTGTCCCATGCATTTGAAGAAAGGCAGGAGTGTCAGGGTGGATCCTGCATAAACTCATGGACGTGTGGATATTCCAAATTCTGCAAAGTTCAACCTGCAATCAGCAGGAGAGCTCGTGCTGGCTCAGGGTCCTGGCTCTGTCCCCACCTCATCTGACCAACTGCTCCTTCCGTATTTTCTCTTGGGAGTCTTGGCACTCATCCAGGACGGGAGGGAACACCAAACTAAAGGAAAGCAGCAAGGCATGTCCCGCTGCCAGTTCAGGGGAACCTCACAGGTTGCCCTGGAAACCCGAGCCGTCTCGAAGCAGCTGGGTTCTGTGAGGCAACAAAGGAAGTGCCGGGGCCTGTCGGCCCTTTGTGGAGGCCGCTTGCCACGCCGCTGTCCGTCCTTGAACGGTGGTGGCAAGAGCAGGCAAGCCCAGACGGACGACGGAGCGGAAGGGGATTTGAGCCCACGAGCGCCAACGACCTCGCCAGGCCCAGGCGCATGGCCGGTCCTGCAAAGGGGCTGGCGCCGGGCCGAAAACAACGCAGATGCTGGCATGTGCCGACCTGCCCTCCCTTGGCTGGCAGAGAACGCAACCCTTCCAGGAGGGCCTCGGACGCCTGAACGCACCCCTTTCGAATCTGCAAGATGTTTGTGGTGTGGGTGCAGAAAAAGCTCCTCCACTTTCTGGGAGTTGCACAATTCCTTTTTCTCTTCCGAAGCGTGCCTAGGACTGTGCCAGAAATAGATCAAGGGGCTGGAACAAGCCCCACCAGGAAAGGTGACCTCTTAGAAAATGGGGAGGAAGAGGAGACGGGGAAAGGTGTGCAAAATTATCTTCTTGTAATAAGAATAAGAATTATTTATTTATTGCTATTCCACCCAACAGCTGAAGCTCTCTGGGTGGATTACAACACATAAAATGGAGGACAAAATTCAGGGAATAATAACAGCATCATGAAAATTACTATATAAAATCTAAAAGCCAACTTTTTAAAAAGCTACAATTTATACAAATTCAGTGATAAGACCTGGTTAAGCAACTGACATAAACCTGAATATAATATTAAAATAATTAATGGCCCTGTAGTCGAGGAGAGTTTACCTGGCATTGGCAAGACATTAAAGTTGGTACCAGGTGGGCTTCAGTGGGGAGCTGCTTCCATAACTGGGAGACCACCATTGAAAAGGCCCTGCTCCTTATTGCCACCAGCTGATTCTCTCTTGGAGGTGGCAACCGGAGGCAGGCCCCAGCTCTTGAGCGCAATGTCAGGGTAGACTGTAGTTGGGAAGGGGTTCTGTCAGGTGGTGTGATCCCAAGCCGGAACCTAAGGGGGCTATCCCATGAAGCTGATTGGCAGGAGATGGAGGACAAATGAAGAGTCTCCACACTGCACATGAGTAAACTACAGAATCTGCTCCGCAAGGGTTAGTGGCCATGTGGTTAGCTTTAAAAGGGGTCTAGACACCGACATGGAGGCCATGGCTATCACTGGCTCGTAGACCTAGTAGCCCTCCTGGATCAGAAGCTGCATGCCTGCCCTGTTTCTCTTCTCACACCTGTCATGCTGACTGGATGGGAGTTCATCCCACTCCGAGCTCAGCAGGGAAGATGGCCAAAGGTACCGGGACTCCTCCACTTGCATTAAAGACAGAGGCATTTCCCCTTTCGTTCCCACATTTGAGTATGTTTCGGTAGACTTGTCCCGGTGATCTACATCCCTCCTCTTCATCCCTTTCCTCCTTTCCCAGTCTGGTGCCCTGGTGCAGAGGGAGCCAGGGAGCAGGAAAGCCTCCACGGTCCCTGGAACCCCGCTAGCAGACCACTGAATCGATCTGTCCATCTTAAAGTATATTCATTTCAATAGAATTATTTTTCAGGGCCAGGAAAAACATTCTTAGTATTTCACTTTAAACCCTTTCAAGGTTTTCTGCTTGTACAGCCTCCAGTATCCCTGAGCAAAGTTCAGGTCACCTTTTGTCTCCTGGGCAAGGCAATTGAATATTTCCACACATAAAAGCATAATTAACCCATCAAAGGTGCCTAACGGTTGCCTAAAACTAACAGGACAACATGATGTGTCCTTTTCTGACTATGTCCCAAGTTTTACACTGTGACTGTGGGATTTCTTTTTCCAAGCCATTCACGAATGCTGAAACACAACTGACAACCTGAAACCATGAAACTCAATGCACCTGTTTACAAGCAGCTGATCTAGACACATTCTCTCCCTTGCCATCTCACACAACAAATACCATCTTGAGCATTGTGGAAAGCATGTATTTGGGGTTAGTTTCCCCCAGGAAGTCTTACCAAGGAGGTTAGTAACCACAGATGTTCACACATTATTATTAAAACTGCATCATACTTTAATATATCAGAATACTGCTTGTGGTCCTTTAGACAAGTTCACTCAAGATGCAGAGCATCCGCACAAACCAGGCCAAGTCCTAGGATAACAAAAACTGCTCTCTATGCATTGCAGCTACAACTTTCCAGAATCCAAATTTTCTACCATGAGATGTTAAAGAGATGCAAAATGCAGGTATTACAAAAATTTGGCTATTTTCCATCTCTCACAATTCCATTTTTCAATTCCCTTAAATAAATGATGGTCCAACACTCACCACAAGCTCGCTGAACATGAGATCCAGCTCTTCCACCGGTGGCATGGGGAAGCCGGGCTCCATGGCCGGCAGGACAAAGTTGCTGTCATTCCGCATCCGGTAGGTGATCTCCGGGTGGTCGTGACTTCGGAAGCAGCAGAAGATGAACGAGATCCCTCGACTGCTCCTTTTTCTTGGAGCCATGGCTGAAACCCTTATGCTTGTCTTTTCTAGACCCTAAATCCTAAAAGAAGTCAAAAGAAAAACAGGAAAGGTGGGAAAGGGAACATTAATGGCTTTGCTAGCAACTCAGAATCTGTTCATACTCTATACTAATATAGTAATGGGCAGAATCAAAATAAATAATTATGCTACCATGTTTCCCCCAAAATAAGACCTAATCAGAAAATAAGCCCTAGCATGATTTTTCAGGATACTAGTAATATAAGCCCTACCCCAAAAATAAGCCCCAGTTAAGATCGTCAGTCAGATGGATGGGAAAACACGGTAGTATGTCCGTTGCAACACACAATTGATGTATTGAATTATAAAATAATGTTAATATATAATTAAATATAAATAAATAATATTATTGCGATTAATACTTAAAATAAATGAAACTATACATTATAATTATTTGTAAATACTGAAGTGGGCACCTTTGGAGGAGAGGTAAATGCCTATGCAAACAGATGAACGCAAGACTTACTGCCGAATGACTAATCGGAGTACAGACACAACGCACAAATAACATTAATACGTAACGGACATACTTAATGCATGGATGCGAAATGCAAGATGAGTGAAAAAGAAAGAGTGATTCCGTTGAGTACAAGAAAGGAATCGTGGAGGCCTCTCGGGGCAAGAATCTTACAGCTTTCATAAGGAAGAAAAACATCACCTGAAAATAAGCCCTAGTGCATCATTTGCAGCAAAAATTAATATAAGGCTCGGTCTTATTTTTGGGGAAACACGGTATTAATCATGCTATAACAGCACGCAGCCACCTGTTCTGGCCACCTCTTTAAGCCCTCATTCCTTGGTCCCTACTACTAATATGAGCCCCTGTCTACCTCACAGCCTTGGAAATACCATGGTGGCAGCCGCTGGAGTCTGTCCCAGGGGCTGCCCGTGTCTGTCTGGAATAACTGCTGCACTAGCTAAGATACCGGAGTCACTGCAAGCAAAACATCCAGGTGATGCTACCTGAGGCAGCTGGGGAAAGGATGGTTTTGCCCTACGGCACAATTGCACTGACTGACACACTCGCTTCTAGACATGGGACATCTCATTCTTCTGGACATGGTGTGATAATATCAAAATACTGAAAACAGTAGTAGAACCAATAAAACACAAAGCTTAGCTCATGAGAACAAAATGGTTAAACTTCTTGACAGATGCTTCTCCAAAGCTGAAATGGGACCTTCTTATTCCCAAGTACAATGAAAAAGAAACAGCAGGATCGTGGAGTGTTGAAGAACAACACAAATACAATTTACATTTTGGTTTTCGTTATGACATGCTCCTTTGTATTCAGATCAGTCCTCAGCAGAATAATGCAGTGCTTGGGAAAGAAAAGGCAGCCTAGGAGCCCAGCCCTGGAGGCCAAGATGGAGAAGAGCTGCACGGCCACCGTGTAGTTCCCCTTCACGCTCAGGTACGTGGGCACAACAGCACCCAGATGCTGCTGAAACCAGCAAGCTGATGGTGGTCAGTGGGAAGACTTACCAGGCCTTTTGCTGTGCATGGCAAGACCTGGAAATTTACCATTCTTGGGGAGTGAAAGTTGGGTGAGCACTTCCCTCTTTATTTCACACTAGGCGAGCCATGACCCAGGACTCCTGATGAACAGCGAGGATGTGGATGAAGAGCACGGCTCAGCATTTTCTACTTGGCACCCTCTGCATGTGTGGAACAACAACCCCCATCTTCCCCAGTCAGTCAGCCATACTGACTGGGGCTGACTGAGGCTGGAGAGCTTTGGATGGGGATGGGGTAGACTGCTATCGTGAGATGCAGGTTTCCCAAAGCATCCACTTCCGGGGAGCAATCAAAAGCTCCGGAGGTGACACTGGAGCAGCAGACAGAGTACAAGCCTATTCCTTTATTTCTGAAGTAAACTTGTCCTGAAAGTCAGCTGTGACCATGTCCTTGTTTATCCCTGCGGGTCGTTTGCTCATTCAACAGATTCTAAAACCAATGCTCTTTTCTGTGACATTTTAAAAGCCATAATGCTTTTATGCCCTTAGCTTTCCTGTAAGATGGGTGTTGCTGGGAACCATCTCTCTTCTTGAATGAGAGAGACCAGGGTTTAGAGGCAGGCTGCTGCCTTCACCCCTCCCTCTCTCAGTTCTTCTGCCAGCTGGTCTGCACAGTTGATTCAAGAAAACCACAAAGTAGTAGTTACTATTTGCTGAGCAACAACTCACACCACTCCCTGCTTCTCCAAACATAAATGCAGAGAAGGCTGGAAAAACACACATGTGCGTGCTCAGCGAGAGAAAGTTCAGAAATGCTGAGACTTAAATGCTGAAACTCAAAAGTTTATTCACTTAAGATCTGAGAAACTGGGAGATGCTGAACAGGTAAAGGGAAATACTTCTGCATGCACTATGCAATTAAAGCATGCAATTTGCTAGCAAGAGAGCCAGGGATGGCCACCAACGTAGATGGCTTTAAGGGGATTAAAAGGAGGATGAGGCTATTCGTGGCAGATGGTCATGATGGCGGTGTATAACTCCAAATATCAGAACCAGCATCTGCACACTGAGTGCCTGGGAATTCGACTGGTGTGTTATTGTACCATGTTCTGTTTCAGGCTTCCTGCTGGAAGTCAGGAGGGCTCTGGGAGATCAGGATGTTGCTTTAGATAGGCCTTGGGTCCCACCCAGCATGGCTCTTCCTATGGTTTTAAGCAAAGTGAACTCTGCGCTCCCATCTCCTCAATACACATGCTGCCATCTCCATTTTTTCACTCAGCTTCTGAAGCCATCATTGCCTACCAAATTCTCCACTACTGATGAGCTCCTTCCATTCACTCAGGACCAATATGGTGGCAAGGGCTGAGCTAAAAGACGGTGACACACGCGCTGGTGACTTCCCGCCTAGACTTCTGTAACGCGCTTTACGTGGGGCTTCCCCTGAAGACAGTCTGAACACTTCAATTGGTGCAAAATAGAGCTGCCAGGTTGCTGACGGGGACGGGGCGTTATGCTCACATGACTCCAGTCCTCCATCAGCTTCACTGGCTTCCCATTGAAGCCCGGGCCCAATTCAAGGTGTTGATTATGACCTACAAAGCCCTAAACGGCTTGGGTCCTGGCTACCTGAACGAGCGCTTACATCCGTATATGCCCGACCGCCCTTTGAGATCTGCGGGAGAGTCCCTTCTCTGCGAACCCTCCATGAAAGAAATTAGGAGAATAAGTACCCGGAGGAGGGCTTTCTCTGCGGTGGCGCCCAACCTATGGAATTCACTCCCCAAAGAGGTCCGCCTGGCACCGTCGTTACTGGTTTTTCGGCGCCAGGTAAAGACCTTTTTATTTAAACATCATTTCAATTGTTAAAACATATGATCTGGCCTGGGCAACTTCTTCTTCCTTCTCTTTCTCCTCCTATATTTTTATTTTATACTGATAATTTTAATTTTGTATTTGTAAATCAATGTATTTTTTGTATTGTTATATTTAATGGTAATTTATTATGTACTATTGTATTTCAATGTATTTTATCATGTTGTAAGCCGCCCCGAGGCTTCGGCAAGGGGCGGCATAGAAATGTTATAATAATAATAATCATCATCATCATCATCATCATCATAGCACAGTGGCGAGGAACAGACTTTGCATGTGGAAAACCCCAGGTTAATCATTTTTTGACTGGGTAGCCTTCCAAATGGACAGAGGGAACACTGTGGACATAACCCACTTAGACTTCAACAAAGCTTTCAACATAGTGCCCCATGATGTTTTTATAGGCAAATTAGCAAAAAGTGGAGTAGACAGAAAAACTATTAGGTGGATCCAAAATTGCCTGCTAAATCGGACACAAAGAGGGGTCATCAATGCCACCTTCTCAGACTGGAGGTAGGTAACTAGTAGGGTACAGCAGGGTTCAGTCCTGGGCCCAGTGCTCTTCAACATCTTCATTAATGATTTAGATTAGGAAGTCCAAGGAGAGATACTCAGATTTGCAGACGATGCAAAACTGGGTGGAATAGTGAATACCCTGGAACAGAGAATGAGGATTTAGGGTGATCTTGATAAACTTGAATTCTGGGCTGAAAGCAACAGAATGAGATTCGACAGGGACAAGTGCCAAGTTCTCCACCCAGGAAAAAGAGACCAAATGCACTGATACAAGATGGGGAGTACGTGGCACAACAGAACTGAAAAAGAAAAAGACCTTGGAGTTGTTATGGACAACGGGCTAAATATGAGCCAACAATGTGATGCAGCTGCACAAAGAGCAAATCCTATTTTGGGATGCATTAATAGAAGTATCACTTCCAAAACAAGACGGGTACTAGTTCCCCTTTACTCCTCACTAGTCAGATCCCATCTGGAATACTGTGTCCAGTTCTGGGCACCAAGATTTAAGGAAGATGCAGAAAAATTGGGGTCCAGAGGAGGGCAACAAGGATGATCCAGGGTTTGGGAAGACTGCCCTGTGAGGAGACTGAGAGAACTGGACATGCTCAGCCTTGAGGAGAGAAGACTGAGGGGGGACATGATATCCCTCTGTAAGTACCTCAACGGCTGTCACAAAGAGGAAGGTCAAGATCTCTTTTCGCTGATACCAGAGTGTAGGGTATGGAATAATCAACTCAAGTTGTGACCAACCAGGTCCAGACTAGATATCAGGAAAAGCTTCCTCACTGTCCAGGCAATACAACAGTGGAACCAGTTGCCTGGAGAGGTGGTGGGATCTCCCATACCAGAGACATTCAAGGTGAAGCTGGACAGCCCTCTGAGGGGTTAGGGACACCCCTAACTGGTGACCTACAACAGCAGGGAGTTTGACCGATGGCCTTCATGGCCCCTTCCAACTCTACTATTGTTTGATTCTATGATCCCCAGCATCTCCAGGTAGGGGAGAAAAAAGAGTGCCTGCCTGAAGCCAGTGCTGTCAGTCAGTGCTGACAAAACTGATCTAGAGAGGCTGAAGCTCTGACTCAGTGTCATGTTGCAATGTGCTGATTATTACTGTTCAAAGCAGCAGGGGAAGGGCAGCCATCTGCTAATC